TGAAAGCACACAGCCAAACTGGTGTTTCTAATTGCCGTTAAGGCAGGGCCTAGTCCCGAAACGATAAACAGGCTGCACCTCCGGTGGTGTAAAGCGCTGAAACCATTTTGCCTGTGTGAAGACCCAGGACATTTTGCCGTCTGCCTTCACTCTAGCCCCAAGGTGTGATTGCGATATTTCAAATTGTTCAGTTCTGGAAGTGTGCGCGGTAATAGTGCCCACGTCCGTCTGTGACAGCATCGAGACGAGGCTGCCCGTGACAACCCTGCGGGAACGCAGCCAAAGTTAAATATTAGGATTTTGCGTGTCTTCCCCATCCTGTTTCAGCGCGTCTCCAAGTTCCTCATCTGCTGCTGTTTCCTTGACCAACTCTCCGAAAGGCGTTTTGGAGCTTGTTTGTGTTTGACCCTGTAAGCTTCAAAGAACGCTGAGCGGCGCTTTCGTTCGGGGGGATCCTAATTGATTGCTGGTGCGGCCGTGCAAGGGTGCTTTGTTGACACCTTTCCTGCCAGCTTGCCTTGGAAGAACACGTCATTGTACAATGGAGAAGCGGGGCAAACGACAAAATCAGTCAGCAAGTTGCATCACTTTTTCCACTCCAAGACAGATTTGATCAACTCGAACTGCATTGGTTGCAGACCTTGCTTGGGCTTCAGCTTGCCGGAAGCCGGAAGCATGCTTGGAAGTCCTCTCATACTTCAGACTGTAGCTTGCCAAGTAACATGAAAGCACACCGACAGTGTTGGATAAGAAAGCGGAGAAGAAAGCGGTGATTGCTGGTCCGGATTTTTTAAGGTCATAAGTACAGCCCCACGATCTGAGGGCACCTTGACGTAATTGATCTTAATTGTAAACGCTTGCGCGCGGCTGCCTCGGACGTCCAAAGGTCCAGGAAATTCCAAAAAATTTACCAAAATTGGCGTTTCTGGCATTTTTGCAGCTCGCTCTGTCGGAGCTGCCGACGGGCAGACTCTGATGCTGTGTTCTTGAAAACCGTGATGTTATGCATGTCCATGGCAATCACTCCGTTGAGATCCAATTCAGCTGAGCGGAAATCTGCAGTGATTGTTTGGAGACGACGAAGGCAGTAGTCCATGAAGTTGACAGGGCGCGTGTCAGGTGCAAGTAGGCCCTGCGTCTCACATTGTAACCGAGCGTTCTTGCGCTTAGGCACTTAGAACGCTGTTCGCTGACTTGCCAGCAACACGTTGAAACACCTGGGATGACTGCAACGTCAATGTGCAGGAGTCTTGTCATCTAATGGGGTTATGAAACATAATCTCAAATTCACCCACTGAGTGCCCAACTACCACACAAGTTCCAGGTACAGAGTTTGGCCACACTTGCTCTGTACCAGGCGCGCAAGCGAGTGAAGACCCTTTGCATCTTCATCCCCCGCGAAAATAAACAAACTTCTGCGCGAAAGGATCACTGCCTGCAGTGGGCGACACATGTCTCAAAAGAATTTCCGGGTTCAGGCTTTTGGGGTCGGAGGTGCGTGGTCGGGTCACAGAGCACCTCAGACGCCCACGGGGACGGGTTCCCGCTATGCCTGCTGGCAATAAGAGGAGGTCAGGTCCGGTTGCAGTATTCGCGTGCTGGTGGAGGGGTTCCTGGTGTTTGCTTTTCAGCGTTATGCCCCCGTTTTCGTGATGGAGAGGCGTTTTTTTTTGGTTTGTTCCTTTCTTCGAGCAATTTCCAGTGGCCGTGAAAAGTCGGCGTGCGTGTGGGATCAAGGAAGCTCTTACATGAGTGCAGTTGTAGGGCTGTTAGCGTACGACTGTAGGTGGCTTCCAGAGTGCAGGTTGTTCCTTGTCAGATTGAGGGCCCTAGGTGCCTCGGCATCGCATGGCCATGCTTCGCGGTGTGCGGTCAGCATGTGGTGCAGGCTCAGATGGTGGTCGAAGTTTTTTTCATAGCGTATGTTCGGGGTGTAGGGTTCAGGGCTTGGAGTTGAGGGTTAAGTATGCACCATCAATACCCTTCGGATTTTTCAGATTTGACCTTTGTTTACAGCTCTGGGTCCCGGACCCTTGTATTCCTCTGGTCTGCATGTTCGGCTTGGAAACCCGCTCGTTTCGATCCGTGCCATCCCATCCAAAAGGCAAGCTCTGTCTTTTTTTGTTTTTCTCTTTCCCTCTCTCTCTCTCTCTCTCTCTCTCTCTCTCTCTCTCACCGTTCTCGTACCTCAAGGGAAGTCAGCCGCCGGCTGTTGACACTCAAGATCTTGCATCACCTAGACATGGCAAACATCAGACTTCCCAGCATCGAGGTTTGCTCCGGACTTGGAGTGCTGTATCAACACGGCACCACTGTAGCTTTCGTGAAGTAATGGGAGCTGCAAAAACGAGTGTGCAAAGCAGTTGCACTGGGCCCTTTCTCACACACGCCAGGCGACAGAAGTGTCGCGACAGCGAAAAGGGCCCTGGAAGCATGTGCCGAGCCCTCAGACTCCGCTGACGTGTTGCTTCGCATGTAACTGCTTGCGGCAGTGCTTGCGGCAGTGCTTGTGGCCTTGTTCCGGCATTTCTATGAACCCCTGCGGCTTGGTGGATCCCTGCTTAGGATGCTACGCTGGTCGGGCTTCTGGTAGTGGCCCAGCTCCACATCCACCCAGCGGGACTACATCAAATGATGCTGTCCGTCATGCATGGAATTCCCAGCTGCCGTGTAGACATGTTACTGCGCTTCGCATTGGACTTTGAAACTCCATCGTCCTAAAGACAGATGGCCCATCACAGCTTCCCATGCTTTCCCAAAAACTCCAAGCTGCGAGGCCCATCCCAGATCTCGCGCCATTATGCTTGGTTCTTCCAAAGGGTGGACTCATTTTGCTGCTGAAGTGAAGCTGCCCAGTGGACAAGATTGCTGGTTTCCGTCGGAGCTGGAAGCTTCCCGCAAGAGCCCCCAAGCAGTATCCCCGGTGCAAGTTCCATCTTTTGGTTGCTTTCTCGCCCTTGGCCAGTGGGACCACTCCGCAGTTCTCCTGAGGCATGTGCGCTGCTTGTCCCAACTTTTGGTGGGTTTCTCGCCCTTGGCCGGTGGGACAGCTCCGCATTGCTCCTGAAGCACGTCCGTTGCATGTCCTAACCCTTCGTCGGCCTCTTGCCGGTGCCCAGTCGCACTTCTCCCTGATACGGTAGTACTCCAGGCTGCGACAGGCTTTTTGAGGACTGTGGCCAGACTTGAATCTCCCCAGCTTGAATGGACTTCATCGCCGTTGGTGATCAAGGTTGCTGTAGTTCAAGTTGGAGTTTTGAAGTTTGGTCCGAAAGCCTCAAGAAGTCGCTGTGCTACATGTCCCAACTCGCGTTTGGTATTTCGGCGTTACGCCCTCAAGCAACCTCGCACTGCTCTCCAGTACACGAAGCGGTGATGGCCTATTGCAAGTCTCGCGCCAGAATGCTTGATTCGAGTGTTAATCGAATCAGATCAAGGTGGTACCGCATCAGCTTAGCGAGCAGGCTTTGCACTGCGGAGGGTTCGGTGGGTGTGGCAAAAAGATTTTGGCGGGGTGCATCGTTCGGACCGTGGAGTGGCTGGGAAGCCGATGTTGGGCAGGGACGGAGTCGATCACGACACCAATGCTGTCTGGCGCTCATTCCGGCTTCCCAAAGCATTGTCTCACACCTCAAGCTTCCTAGTTCTATGATGGGAATCCCTTGTCACGTCAGGACGCCTGTCCTGCTGGAGGACTTTGCCCAAACTCATAGGTTTCGCCGTGCTTATCACCCCGGATTTGGCACCACTAAACCCCTTGTCACCTTGAGATTTCTCCTCCCCCCTCAAGGAATCCCATGAGGATGTTGCCCTTACCTTAAAGTTCGGGTAGCCCACCTAAGGGCCATGAGATGTTCCGTTTGGGGGTGACTGTCGCCTGCAGTCCTCGTTTCGTGCCTTGGCGAAACGAGGATCCCGATCCGATTCGTCCTTCATGCCCGACACTGCCCATCAGAGTGGGCTTCATCGTCGGTTGTGACGTGAAGCTGTCCAGTGCGCAAGGTTGCTGCGGTTTCTGTGTTGGGCCCTGAAGTCTCGCCCGAAAGCTGTGCGTAGTGTCTGCTGCAAGTCTTGACTGTTGTTTGATGTCTCGTCCTGGTCCAGTCCCGCAGCTTCGCACTTCTCGCTCAAAACTGCAAGCCGCCATGGCCCATTGCAGGTGTCTGTCCGTGATGATTCTCCCCTGTCAGCATGGACTTCATCGCCGGTGGTGATGTGAAGCTGTCCCGTGGACAAGGTTGCTGCGGCTCCGGGCGGACTTCGAAGTTTTCCCCGAGAGGCTCGAGAAGTCACGCTGCCATGCGTCCCAACGTGTGTTTGGTTTTTCACCCCGAGCCCTTCGCACAACCTCGCACTTCCCCATGACACTCCAAGCTGCGATGGCCCATCACAAGTCTCCTGCAGTCATGCTTGATTCTTCCAGTCAGAATGGACTTGTCGTCGTTGGTGACGTGAGACTGTTCAGTGGACAAGGTCTTTGCATTTCCCGATTTGGACCGTGAAGTTCCCCCCGAGAGCCGTGAGTAGTGTCTCTGCTGAAAATCCCAGTTTTTGGTTTGGCTTACCACTCCCACATTGCCAGTCGCATAATTTGCACTTATTCCAAAAGAAAAAGCAGGCAGGGCTTGATCACAGACAGCCCTCCAACAGCAGCTCTTAGGACGCGTGTGAAGTCTATGAGAGCGGAGATGCGCATGTTTCTTTGGAAGTGCCCTTGGCTGGTTATTGCTAAAATCGAGGCCGCAGCAGCATGTGAAGCGCCTGGCAGCTGGGAGTTGGAGTGTGATGCAGCATGCCGGCGTCATGCTGTCCCGTGTCCCCTGTTGCACCCTCATCTGTAACTGGATGCCCAGCCATCCTGCAGACATGGTCAACTGGTCGATCGCAGGTGTTGCGGGTTTGCGGAAGTCGACTTGCGGAGCCACACGAAGCACTTGGCCACAGGCTTCGGTCTCCGGCCAGATTCATGTGAAGGCCGAGACATAGCTGTAGAAGTCTTGATGCTTGTTGTTCGACTTGCAGCCGCCGTGGCACATCAGGCGTCTTGCATGCGTAGTCAGTCGTGGAGCATGATGCAGCCCGATTGTCGCTCCCCTTTCCTGCCTGTCTGGCTGCTGCGGCCCTCAAGCAAGATCCACAGCGTTTGGACGCATGTCAGGAAGCCCCTGACAAGTGATCACATACAGAATCAAGCCTTCCTTGTAGTTTCATCTTGCAAGCTGCCAAAGAGCTCTGGATCAGCCAATGCGTGGGAGTGCTTCGAAAGGGGCGGAGCGCGTAGCAAGAACCCGACATCGAGATGATGGTGTGGGAAGGCCGAAATGGTTGCTCTAAGAGTGTCAGGTGCTCGACTGGCAGCCATTCCATGTCAAGCTCCCTGCAAGGACCTGAATGTGATGCAGCATGGGAGCGTCGAGCCACAGTTCCGCTAAGCCCTAAACGCGAAATCTGTTGGACTCACGTCTAAGTCTAGGCCCTTCCAACCGATTTGGTTGCTAGGCTCGGGCCACTTGAAGACAGCCAGCCCTACTGCGCTTGACAGGCGAAACAGATATTGCTCTAGAAGTCTTGTTGGTTGTCGGTCAACTTGGGTCCGCTGCGGCGCGCCAAGCGTCTTTCTTCTGGAGCAGATGATTGAGTATGATGCAGCCTGATTGGAGCTCCCCTATCCTTGTCCAGTTGTGCGGATGAGTCAGATCTGCTGTGTCTGGATGTCTAGCCATCCGAAACATGCCCCCCACCGATCACAGTGCATGCGTCGCACGTCGTGAGTGCAGAGCTGCAGTGATGGCGTTTGAGCAGTTGCGGCCTGCCGCGCTGCTGGCGCTGATGTTTGAAGGCGTCATGTCCGTAGCGTTTCCTCAACACGGCTGTAACAGAAACCGCCCCTGGGCACGTGTGCTCGAGCGCAGACGCTGCGCTCTGAGACCCTAAAGCCGTATTAAGCCTCCTGGCACACTTCGCGGGTCCCTGACCCTGTCAAAAAACCTGAGGCGCTTCGCCGGAGGAGGCTGGGACCCATAGGTGATACCTTGGGGAAGCGAGCTGCATCTCACGCATGAGGCAGGGGGCAGAACCGGATTAACGAACGTCTGCAGGAAGTGCAAGGAACGGCATGGAGATCAAGTTCAGGCCGCACCTTCACCCAACACCCTGTAGCCAGAAGCCTCAGCACCCTGACAGCCTCAACTCTCAAGTTCATGTTCTGCTCAGAGCTGGAGTAGTGACGTCCCGAAACCCGATGAGGCATGCAAGGAAGAGCTGAGATAGCTCAAACAGGGACTAAGGGGTCTATGCTGTCAGCCTCTTCCCTGCAGAGTGTCGGTTTGCCCGCGATAGTGCCAAGCACGGCTGCAGCTCGAGTGTCCGTTGACGTGCCGTTCAAGTAGGACTCGGCCAAGCCCCTGGAGTCCAAGTCTAGTCCTAAACTCCCAGTAGGCAGCAACAGTAAGATAAGAAGAAGCGCCAAGAAGCCTTTGAAACTCCTTGGAGCCTTGGGTTTTGCTTCCGGATGCCTTGCACGGTGCTGGTGCGGTTGTCCGGTCACATGCCGCCAGAGGCCTGAAGTTTTCGCCGCCAGCACTTCATCTGTAGCTGATGCACCGCTTTCTGAACATACGTCCCCTATGCTGCCCGGCCTCCCACGATCTGCGCAACGCCTGCAGCTTACTCAGTTGCTGAGGCCGCATGCGCCTCCTGATAGAGCTGGCCCTGTTTGCCCATGGCGGGCCCATGAGTGCCTAAGCTGCGTGGCAAGCGGAAACCAAAAAGAGCAAAAAGAGCCAATGTGGGACGTGGGGCCGGCGCTGACTGTGTGCCCGGTGCGATTCATCGGGGGCACATGTCGCAAACGGCAGAGGCGCCGGCGACTCGCACGCCTTTCCCTTCGTTTAACTGGCCAGGATAGTGCGTGGCACTCGCATGGGCAGTTCTTAGAAGAGTGGGAAAAAACAACTGAATGTGGCAAAGCCCAGGTCGGCCAGCAAGTCGCGCAGAACATCCCAGGCCATTTCCCCCCAAGCACCCGTAGACCCAAAGCAGTTTGCTATGGTCATGGTTATTCTTGGTTGACCACGGTCACAGAACCTAAACTCGCTTGCCTTCCTCAATGGGGCGGAAGCTAGCCCCGGAACCGAAACTTACTTGGCAAGTCCAGACGTCGGACTGAGCCAAGCCACCTGAAGTCCAAGTCTGGTCCTAAACTCCCAGTAGGCAACAACAGTACGATAAGAAGAAGCACCAAGAAGCCTTTGAAACTCCTTGGAGCCTCGGGTTTTGCTTCGGGATGCCTTGCATGGTGCTGGTGCGGTTGTCCCACCTTGGTCACATGCCACCATTGGCCTGACGTTTCCGCAGCCAGCGCTTCATCCAGAACTATGCTGCCCGGCCTCCCGCGACCTGCGCAACGCATGCGGACTACTGTGCCTCCTGATGGAGCTGCCTTGTTTTTACATGGCGAGCAGGTGAGTTGTAGGAGATGCATAAAGCTGAAGAAGCGAGCTGGCCGTCAATTCTGATTGAGCTGCCTGCACCCCTATATGACGTATGTCACATGCCCTGAATCACGTTGCCCTCAGAGGCCCACCCTGCAAAACTCCTCGGTCCTTAACCCTGAAATCCCAAGCCATGCAACGAACGACCCATGCCATTCGGCTGCGCACTTTGCAAGCCGGGCCCGCCGGGTCTCAGGAACTCTAAGCAGCTAAGCCCTGAGCTTCGACTTCAAGAGGCAGTGAAAGCGGTGGCACTTTCCTGAGAATCTCTTAGCGTCCAAGAAGGCTCAAAGGTGAGACGCAGCTGTTCGTTCTCGCTCGATGATATTGCGAGAGCCCGTGGAGGCTCCACTGCTCGCTGGCAAAAGTCTTGCTTCCTGCTGATGTCTTCGCCTGAGCAGGCGCCACATCTAAAGCTACACGACACCATGTTGGTTGTCAGCTCTTGCCTCCAATCACCGTGTCAATCCCAAGCACCGCTTTGTGTTGAGCTCATGGTAGGCTGCAAGGACAACGCAGTTCTGCGCAGTGCCGGTTGGAAAGCTGGTATACTACCTTCTGGCTGGCAGACAGATACCCCAACGCCACCCTTATCATGGAGGATAGTCCGGATGCGTCGTGGGGTGATGGCCTGAAGACTTTTGCCAAAATGCGAGAGTTCCTTTCATGGTTTGCAGAGCCAAGTTCATTCCGCGAGCAAGACCCTTTACGTGCCGGTGCCTGTTGCTGCGATGAGCCACCCGGAACTTCTGCGGAGCTGGGAGCTCTTCAAATGCGGCAGCACATGTTCAGCGTACATCCGCAGGAGCCCATCAGGTCGTGTAAGCTGCTCGCGAGCCCAAAGACTCTGGGCATGGGCGTTGGTTGCGGAGCACGTAGACAAAGTCCTTGGAGATTACCCGCAATTAAATGACCCAGTATGAGCGTTCCGAGTCGCTGGTCATTTTCAACGGCACAAGAAGCCGTTGCGTTTGGCCCTCATGTCCAACGTTCTGTGGATGCCATGCAAAGGGCGCCCTGCAGCAGTCGAGTTCATTTGTTTTCAAGATGCTTACAAGGTGCGAGGCTCCCACGAAGGCAACCCCAACCTGATCCGGTATGCCACGTACTGGAACATGGACGGGGAATCGACCTGGCTAAGATACTACCACGTTTATGTCGAAGATGCCTCGGATTACGTCACGGACTATACGAAGCTCGATCTGGAGGGCTTCGAAAGGGCCATGAGTGCCGCGCTGGCCAGGCTAGCAGAAGCGTAGCAGGCATAGCACAGGTCTTCTGCAGCTCATCCAGACCCTGCAAGCAGAAATGCCGATGTTTAGGGTACTTAGTATAATAACCTACATATTGAGGCGACACATGCACGGACATCATGACCCAACTCAACAAGTTGCATTTGTAGTTATTGTCAATTGTTTTTCTTCCGGTTCTTCTTTTTGTGGGCAAAGAGAGTACCTGCTTTATGGCTACCCAGACACCTACGGCTGAATCCGCAGCTCAGGGCGTCCAGGAAACCCTGCTCATTGCGGCCTGCGGTCCTCCAGGGGGCGGGCCGGATGGCGGCAATGGAGACTATCGTGTAAGCCATTGCCGATGCGCCTGTATGACTAGAAGAGATGTTCTTGTCTTGATCCAGATGGGCTGTGTATGTTGCTCAATGGCGGCAGCTTACCATGAATAATTACTAACAGTATCCCCTTTTGGTCCCTTTGTAATTATACTATGATAACCTCCCAAAACCCTACTCTAGTTATCAAGGTTGAACTCTTGTCCTCCCGCGCCTTGGCGACCACTGCTGCCGTTTTAGCTGCAAACGGAATCGCGCCGGACCTCTATTCTTCGTCTGGGGTGGGCATGAGCACATTCCTTTTGAGCGGGCGTTCTAACATCCAGAAGATGAGCCGCAACAAAAGTGGTTGAGCCACACCCTCCTGGAGTGTGCAGATCTTTGGCTTCTACCTACGACCGCAGCTTCCGCTGCCGGGCTTACTCCTGAGGACCTCCTGGATCCACAGCATCCGTGGCTTTAAGGACCATGAAGAGAGTGCCGAGGAGCCGAAGGTTCTAAAGTGCATCCCAAGCTTGCCGAGCCTCTCAGCCCTAAAGTTCCTCTCGTCACATCGGCAAGACCTCGCACCGGAGTTGATATGAGATGTTAGATCTGACATCTCATATCTGAGATGTTATATCCCGGTTCTCCAGCCGCTTACCGGCGCCGGAAACGCTGGGACAAAGTGTCGGGATTGCTACGTATCCGCGCTCGCCTCGATTTGACGCCGGCGCCGCTGTTCGCCGGTGGGGCCATCAGTGCATACTGGAGCTTCTCATAGGGAAGGTGAGCGGACCGAAGACGACTCCACTGACCTCCGGTTGAGCTGGTTCTCCGTCTTTGAACAGGCAGCAAGGGAACGAAAGACGGGCTATGCACGGAGCGCACAGCATGCAAGTGCTGGTGCCGCGTTTCTTGTGCAAGCCTTATCTGCTGCAGGCCAGAAAAACCGAATGGTTGCAGAAGCGGGGCCTTGTCTACAGCCTTGTTGCCCACGGTAATAGCGCAGGGATGTGTAGGTGTAGAGAACAGACTAGCATAGACTCAAGTTCGACGTATATTGATTACACAGGAGTATGCACTCACTTACACTTGCGCTTGCAGTTTACACATTGACATATCGACACATATATGTGCGCTGGCGCCGTTGCACTTGTATTTTGCCTGCTGGGTGTCCCTTGCCCAAAAGAGAAGTAGAAGCAAAGGCAACATGCTGCTTGCTTCACACACGTGGACGTTATTATCCCATTCCCGTCCCACC